CATTGTTATAAAATAATAAGAAATTACCTCAGAAGTGAAAACTACTCTGAAGATATAAAAGTAATACTGACTGGGTTTCCAGCTGAGTGTTCTCCTCAGGAGATTCTCTGGACCACACCTCTTGCCCTAAGACTGTAGAAATCCCCTTTCACAGGGAAAACCTGTTAGGTGCTGTAACATTACAGCCAGTACAGTGATACAGCCAAATTATCCGTGAATTAATTTTCAACACGGTGCATGACCCCTCTTTACCACATTAAACTTCACTATTAATTGTTTGTAATATATTGTTGGACTGAAGCTCGTCTTGAGACTGATGGAAATCCTTCAGCACAGGTGTCAGCATAGGTGCAAACTCTCAGCGTTCTAAGATCCACACAGTGCCATTTTAAGGAGATTTTTATTGGAACAACAATAGCTGGGGAAAAAAAGCCCAAAAAGCAACCAGGCAAGCTTTTTTTTTTTTTTTTTTTTCCTCTATAAGTCTGTTCTTACCTATAATTTTTATTTTGGGTTGTCTGAAGCTCCTGAGCTTTAGCAGTCTCTCCCTTTCTGATTTTTTCCCTTATTTTCAGAAGAGCTGGGTGCTATTCCTGTTTCCCTATGGACTCAAAGAGTCCAGCAAGGGCACAGCTGGAGCTAAATCAGCTCCAGCCCCAGGGAGTGTGGGTTGAAGGTCACCCTCCCATATTCACATTGGGGCAGGAAAGCAGCCAAGTTAACACCTTCTCCTGCATTTTGTTCCTATTAAAAACTCAGCTTTAGGACTGCAGGTCCTGACGGAAACATTTGGATTTTATCCATGAAGAGGGAGCATATTTATTTATTAGGGGCAAAAGCAGTTTAGTTGCTCCTGAATACCTAGCGTTGCTCTTTCCCGAGGCTCCCAGCAGGGTGGGTGTGTACCACAGGGGCACATATTTGATCCCAAGCATCTCCTGTGCCCCTCACATCCCTCTGCAGCCTCCTGTGTTCCAGCTCTGTTGGGTTTTATCTGTTTAATGATGTGTGAGAGCAATCCAGCACAGAAGGATGTGGAGCTGTTGGAGTGAGTGCAGAGGGAGCACCAAAATGTTCAGAGAATGGAGCAGCTCTGGAGGAAAGGCTGGGAGAATTGGGATTGTTCAGCCTGGAGAAGTTTCAGGGTTGCCTAACTTGGCCTCCCAGTGCCTGAAGGAGCTGGAAAGAAACATGTAGAGAGACTCTTTACAAGGGCCTGGAGTGCCAGGACAAGGGGGAAAGGGTTTCCCACTGCCAGAGGAGGGGGTTAGATGGGATATTGGGAAGGAATTTTTCCCTGTGAGGGTAGGGAGGCCCTGGCACAGGTTTCCCAGAGAAGCTGTGACTCCCCATCTCTGGGAGTGTCCCAGGCTGGGTTGGATGGGGTTTGGAGCACCCTGGGCTAGTGGCAGGTGTCCCTGTCCATGGTAACAGGTGGAATGGGATGAGCTTTGAGGTCTCTTCCAACCCAAACCATTCTGGGATCTGTGATTCAGGTCTCCATGAGCCTCCTCATCCTTCCCCCTTCCCACCTGGCACAGCCTGCATGGAGCAGCTGATGATGGATAATGGCTGAGGGAATGCAGGGATGAGCAGACCTGATCGGAGCCCAGAGGTGTTTGCTGTCTCCCAGGCATTTTTAGAGGAGAAATGGAACTGAGGATATGCTGGTTTGGCAGGTCAAAGGGACAGGAAAGAGCTGCCACTAGTGCCACCGTGGGACCTGTCACTGTGATGATGTTTTGTGTGGTGTCAGGGCAAAGAAATCTGTGGCTTGTTCAGATTTCCCCCCTTAATTTACATGATCTTTTAAAATTTTCTATTAAGGAGAAATCAATTCCTACTTCTCATTCAAGCTTGAACTGCTTTTCTGTAACAATTCTGCTTTTTATCAATAGAGCTTTTAGGAAGAGGTTTTTACAGCATTCACTGCTTTCCCACCAGGCTGACCTACGAGAGTTGCCACTAAATTCTCCTGATGTACTAAATTTAAATTTTAACATCCCCCTAAATTCCCCGGTTCATCTGCTCAACAATACTCTGATATTTCAGGGAGCTTCTGAGGAAGAGCCCTATCACAACGCCCTACTTGCTTCTTTCCTATTAATTACCCCAAAAGTTAACTTTTGGGCTCCCCCCAAAGTTATGTGGCAACATTATAACAGCCCCAATAGCAAGTTTTATTTAGTTTTAGCCATTTATTCCTCTGCCAGCTTTCAGATTCTTTGGAACAACTAGCTTCTGTTAATTAAATGTCACCTCTAATCAGAGCAAGTTTCAGCTGCCCACCCACCTCTCCAGTGCCTTTCCAAATCCAGTTTCCCATCTTCGGAAAAAGAAATCTTCGTTAACAGCTTTTACTACAATAAAGACTACAATAAAGACAGGTGTGGGCTCAGAAGGCTTCAGTTTATTAAAAAGTGAAGATCTGCTTTTCAGAAACAGAACAACCACAATCATGCAAGTCTTAGACAAGCACAAGGCAGTCAGAACATAAAAGACACAACCTGCCCAACAGGCAGGAGGAACTCAAGCAAACCAAGATGAAAATTAAACCGGTGGTTTACAATGAACATGAAGTGTCAAACAGTAAAAATTAATTAATTTATCCAGTGTTCACACCACCTCTCAGACTTTTAGTCTTGTACAAACGCTGAAAAGAAGCCATAAAAATTTGTAAAAAACTACAGTATTTTGTATCAAAACCAGCTAGAGTAGGAGGAGCATTTTAACATGAAAATCGAGGTCAGATCAGATCTCCTCTTCCTCCAAGCAGTCTCCATCTTCGGCAGGATCCAGTGGCAGGGGCTGAGCTCTGTAAGGAGCATTATTTCAGAAGCATTAGCAGAAACCAGCTCTGGTTTGAAAGGCTAACAAAAACCTTTTCCCAAAGCCCGTGTGACCCAAAAGCCTCAGACAGCACCCTGAGGCATCAGGACTGATGGGGGCTACTTTATCCCGAGTGCTCTGAGCCCAGATGCAGCTGCAGAGACATTCCTTCCAGACTGGAAAGATAACATTCCACACCAAGACACCCCTGGCTGGTCCCTGCACATCCTGGACCCCAAGGACTGCACACAGGTTCCACACTTCTCTTTGGAAGCTGCCTAACTCCCACCTCATGCCTGAGTTTCCACCTGACGAACTTATGGAACAAAAAGCTTGTGCAGTTGAGGGAGTACAGTTCTTGCTATTTCCAGAAAACACTAGGAAGCTGCAAATTGTTTTGGATGGGGAAACTCTGTGTTCTCTTCTCACCACCCTGATCTTTTTCAGCCTGACAAACTCCAAATTAAAGGGATGAAAGTTTTCCTGTGCTACAGCAAATGTTTTCTCATTCACCAACAGGTGGGGTGCACTTAAAAGCCTTTGTCTGCTTGTCCTGCAGGACAGTTTGGGGCTGATTCTTATGGGCTTCCCCTGGCAGTTTGGGAACACCTATATTTAGTGGAAAAATAGAGGTTCAACCCAGAATTCTCTATGAAAAACATTCTGTAAGACAACATCTCATACTGCTGCCTTTTTAGTTAGTAGTGCAGTCTACAGGTTAATCTCTGAGGTTTCAGCTTGGAGAAGTCATTCAATTCCCGGCACATGGAAGTTGTTAGTGCTCTCCTAAGCTTTTCCAGAACTTTACTCTGCTGGCAAAGTTATGTCTGAGCAGTGAAAACTTGCCCCAACTACCAGTTACTGCATCCATTTTCAGGAACCTTGACGAGGTCCCCGAAAACTTTGCTAAGAAGCATCACTTCCATGAGGATACAGAGGACAGCAAACACACTGTCAACTTGTCAGCAGCTGCTTGCCACTACTAACATGGAGTTTCAAGGACAAAAAATGATCACAACTTGCTCCCCCTAACTTATGCCTCATCTTGCCCAGCACCCACTCCAGGCCGCTGGTCCCAGGCGTGTCTCCGTCGGGATCCCGGTTCTCCTTGGATGGGAGCTTCAGGAAGTCGCTGATACCCCTTTGCCAGGCGGGCACCGGCCTCACACAGACCCGGTTCAGCCCCACAGGGCGCCTGTCACCTGCGAGGAGCGCGATGTCACTGCTGGGGAGCCAGGAGGGGAGGAGGAGAAGGGAGGGAAATACGGGAAAAGAGAGGGATGAAATAAAGGCAGGGGGGAAGGCAGGCAGGGGGGAAGGAAGGCAGGCAGGGGGGAAGGAAGGCAGGAAGGAAGGAAGGAAGACGGGAAAGGAAAAGGAGGAAGAAAGGGAGAAGGAGGGAATTAAAGAATAAAGAGCGCAGTGAGGGAGGGAAGGAAGGTCAAAGGGCCGAGCTCCGCCGCGCTCACCTCTCTTGCTGGGCAGCGGCGTCCCCGCGTTGATGCTGCAGGAGCCCAGCGCCTTCCGGGGAGCGCGGGCAACCAGCACTGCGGAAACAACGGGACAGCTTGGGGACAGCGTGGGGACAGCGGTGGCACTCGGAACTCGGCGGAACCCGGCTCAGCCCATCCCGCCCCGTCCCGGTCCCACAGCACCGCCGGCCCCGCGGCCCCTCACCCTTGCGGAAGGCTCCTCCACGCTGCTCCGCCTTGGTCCGCGCCATCCCGCGCCGGCAGTGCCCGGGCCCGCCCCGGCAGCGCCATTGGCCACAGCCCGCCAATGGAGCGCGGGGCCGCCCTCGTTCCGCTCCCCTTCCCGCTCCCCTTCCCGCTCTCCTCTGCCCGGGCGGGATTTTGGGAAGGAATTCCCTATGGGGGCAGTGAGGCGCTGGCACAGGTTACCCGCAGGGTCTGTGGCTTGCCCGTCTGTGGAAGTGTTCTGGAAGTGGAAGGCCACGCTGAACGGGGCTCGCAATAACCTGGTCTAGCGGACGGTGTCCCTGCCCATGGCACGGGGTTGGAATGGGATGGGATTTACGGTCCCTTCCAACCCAAACTGTTCCCGGACTCTATGAACCGCTCCCGGAACGGTCGCTCCGCGGCCGCGTTCCCGGCGGGAAGGGAAGGGAAGGGGAGGGGAGGTGTTGGGCGGTGCGGCGCCGTTTCCTGTCCCCCGCGGAAGATGGCGGCGCCCAGCGCTCTCCTGGCCTGGTGCGTCCAACACCTGCGCGGCGACTTCGGGCTGGACGTGGGCGAGGACGTGGTGAGGTGAGCGGGGCCGGGGCCGGTCGGGGCCCTCCTGCCCTCTGGCAGGGGCTCCTCGGTCCAGCACGGAGGAAACAGGGCGTGTCAGAGCAGTTGTTGGGAATCTGTGCCCGGGGTTGTCGCTCGGCTGGAGATTTGGGGAGAAGTGGCGGGGGAGGGAGGGGGGATGTGGGGGTCACAGAATCACAGATTACTCTTATTTGGGAGGGATCTTAAAGGTCATGTCGTTCTGTCTCCTGCCACGGTCTTCCATGGTCTCCACAGAAAGCTGACCCGAAAAGGGAAGATAAATGACACAGCTGTGCGATGAGACCACTGGGTTAGACCTCGGGACGTCCGTCCCCTCACCCGTTTTTATCCACTCCGGCCCCTCGTAGGTACATACTGTCAATCACAAACGAGGATGAGATCCGGGAGTACGTTGTTGACCTTGTTCAGGGCACCGAGGGGAAGAAGAGCTGGTTTGTGGAGGAGCTGCTGACCAGGTGGAGGAAATCTGCCCAGCTGCCCCCTGAGCCTTTCCCGGCGTATCGCAAAAAGGACGGTGAGCGGTGCAGAGCGCCCTCGGATGAGCTCGGTTATTGCGGTTACAAACAATTCCATGCACAAATCCCTCTATGGATACTGGTTCCGTTCCTGACTGTCGGGACAGTTTAAAGCCCGTTTTCAGTCATGAAAGTAGAGCCCAGGGCCATCTTTCCCCTGCTGGCACTCACCCAGCCTCTCTCTGTGCTTGCTCACGCTTCCAGAGGCTCCGGAAGTGCCGCGGGCTGGGGACCAAGGGAAGAAAGGGAAACGCAAAGGGAGGAACAAGCAGGAGACTCTGGCATATGCTGAGCCCAGCGCTCACAGGGAGGAGGTGAAAACCCCACTGGACCTGGCCAAGGTGAGTGTGGGGGGCATGCCAGGGAGGCTGGGGGTCACTGGAAAGGCTTGGAACCTGGAGCCTGCGGGAAGAGGGTGTCAGATGCTGGTAAAGATGGGATTGGAAGGCGGAAATGAGTGTCAGGCTGGGATGCCCAGGTGGGCATTGCTGAGGCTGCACCTCAAATCCTGGGGTCAGTTCTGGGCCCCTCACAAGAAAGACAGTGAGGTGCTGGAGTGTGTCCAGAGGAGGGAACAGAGCTGGGGAAGGGGCTGGAGCACCAGAGGTGGCTGAGGGGGCTCAGCCTGGAGCAAAGGAGGCTCAGAGGAGCCTTCTGGCTCTGCACAGCTCCCTGAGGAGAGCTGAGCCGTGTGGGGGTTCACATCTGCTCCCTGAAAACAAGGGACAGGATGAGAGGAAATGGCCTCAGGCTGTGCCAGGGGAGGTTTAGGTTGGATATGAGGGAAAACTGAATAGAAATGGAGGTCAGATACTGAAATGGACTGTCCAGGACAGTGGTCACCATCCCTGGAGGGATTCAAAAAACTTGTGGATGTGGTTCCTGGGGAGGGAGGAAGGAGGAAGAGGGAAAGGAAGGGAGAGTTAATGATGGGCCTCTGTGATCTTGGAGGCCTTTTCCAACCTAACCATTTCCATGTTTCTGTGATGTCCAGGCTGGGTAGAAAAGTTGTGTCTGTAACTGGGAGTAAAATAATCACCAGGTAGCAAATATGCCAGCATGTATTTTTCTCCCCCAGAAAGCCTGAGAGGAGAGAGCAGATGAAGGAAGTTGAAGCTGTAATTAGGAATAAAAGGGATTTCTTTAAATCAGATATGAGGGTGGGGAATTTAAGCCATCAAGTGGTTAGAACATCCTTTTCTGCTGTATTTAAACTATCTCAGTCACACTGATTAAAGCTTTAATTAGTAACTGAAATACTTCAGAAAGAAACTGGAATAAGAGCATAGAAACACTAAAACCTGAGAAATGCTGCTATTCCTGAGTAAGGAGTGGAACTTGAATTCATGTTTTTAAATGCAACTTTTTGGAGCAGGGAGGGTGCAAAGGCTGAGATTGTTTGTAAAACTGTTTATAGGATAAAACACAACATTTTTGAACTGGTGGGTTAAAAGTGGACAGTGATGTTCCGTCTCCTTATAGTTATCTTCTAACTTAATTAAAATTAAAAAAAACCCAAACAATTGAGAAAGATCTGCCAAAGTCACTTTATCTTCTTTTGGGTTTTTTTGTGGTGGCACTGTTTGAATCTGGCAGTGGCACTAAAACCAGTTGGGCTTTACTGGGGGGACTGGAAATGCTGCATCTGCTTGTTACTAAACCAGGTTGAAACTCAGAAGTGAATCATGAAATCACTGAGGCCAGGCCATGGAAAGTGGAACAGAATTTATTTTACAGCTCAGTACTTGAACCCTCCTGCGTGCAAAACCTCCGCTGAGGTGGCTGTGCCGGGTGGGACTTGAGGAAGTTGCTGGGAGGTGGCAGGGCTGTGAATGCAGCAGCTCTGCTGCCACCACCAGCTGTGTCTGGGGTCAGGCACACACAGGGTGCATAGGTACAGACACAAAGTAAATAATCCTTGGAAATGAACTTGGGAGCAGCTGAGCTGGTGTTTGGAGCTGTTAAACAGGTGTGAGACTGTGTGGAGCACAGAAAGCAGTGCTTGCTGTCCAAATCCCAGCAGCTCCAGCTGCCATGAATGAAACTTCAAGTGCATCCTGGTGTCCTTACTTTGTTTGGATTCCTTGGAGCTTTTCTGGCAGGCCTGAGCTTGTCTTTCTGCTCAGTCTGGGGTCTGGTCCAAGTGTCACTCCAGTGAGGCAGAATGCTTGTCTGAGCCTCCCGGCCTGCCTGGGGTCAGTGCTCGCTCTCTGCTGCCAGTGCTGCACTGAGAGTTCAGTTTGTTTATTTTTGTCTACCCAGGCCCAGGAGAGCAGCAGTGGAGTCAGCAGCAGTAGCATTTCCTCCAAGAAGAAGCCCAAGTACGTGAGCCTGTACACAAGGGAGGGGCAGGACAGGCTGGCCGTGCTCATCCCGGGCCGCCACGCCTGCGAGTGCCTGGGCCAGAAGCACAAGCTCATCAACAACTGCCTGGAGTGCGGACGCATTGTCTGTGAGCAGGAGGGCTCTGGGCCCTGCCTGTTCTGTGGGGCCCTGGTGAGTAACCCCAGAGTTACTGCCCTGCTTGGACCTGGAGAGCTTGGCTGAATTAGCCCTTTAGACACAAGTTCCTCTTGCAGATTTCTAAAGCAGGTTAGCTTTATGGTTTCCACCATAATTTACATGGTTTTGGGGCTTGTCTGGTTTCTGACAGCCTCCTGTGTGTCACACCAGTGTCCAAAATCTCTTCAAGGCTTCAGCCCCATCCCGGACACAGCCCTAGTCACCTTGTCAGGAGCAGTGCCCTGCTTTTCCTTCAAGTCTTGCACAACAGGGATCCTTTGGGATACCTGTTAACACCCAGATTCAGTTCAAAGGGCACCTTTTGAAGAAAGGTGACAAGTTATTGATGGCAGAGGAAATTCTTCATGTGAGAGGAAAATATTAGTTGGGTAGAGCAAAATGTTTGAAAGCATCTTGGTTGCTATTTTGAAAGATCAGTGTAACTCCCAGTGGCCAAGAAGGAGAGGAAAAACTGAGTTAAGGGTTGTGGTTCTGCCTGGGATGGTTCTGAGCTCTTGTCCTTTGAGCTCCGTCAGCTACGTGTCCACCCACAGAACAGGGAGAGACCAAACTCTACATTTCTCTTTTAGTAAAGAACAGGCTTCCAGGGTTCTTCACATGTCAGTCGGGAAGAGAAGGAGGTGTGGATTGTCACTGCCACTTCACGCAGCCTGAACTGTTGTCCAGGGCTCTGAAACTGGTCAAGCTGTGACATCCTTCCCATGTGATGTCCTTCCCATGTGATGTCCTTCCCATGTGATGTCCTTCCCAAGCCTTCATTTCCTTCTTTTCCTCAGGTGTGCACTAAAGAAGAGCAGGACATTCTTCAACGGGACTCCAACAAGAGCCAGAAGCTGCTGAAGAAGCTGATGGCAGGTCAGTAGCTACTCCATACCTGCAATAGAATGAATCCAAATGGTTTGTGTACATTATTCCCTTCAGGCTTCACTGAGCCACTTGGCCTCGTTGCTGCTCTTTGTCTGTGATAGGCATTAAAGGGATGGTTTGGAAGTTGGTTCCCTGGATCCTCCTGCAAGCCCTAGGCAGCATTCCCGGGCTTCAGCAGAGGTGACAGTGGCGAGTGTCAAATGGCAGTGTGTGGTGTCCTTTCCCTGAGGCCCCAAGGCTGCTCATTTGTCATTCCAGAGCCAATCACACGAGCTGGATCATTGTAGCAGGCCTTGAAAATTAGGATAAGTCTCCTGTGGAATGTGTGCTGTGGAAGATGAAGTGCTGCTGTCTGATTTGCTGGGCTTAGAGAGGAGGTGGTTAATATTTTCTAATGGCTCTTCTTGTCTCACACTTACCTTGGGAGCTAAAAATAGGAACAGAGCCAAGGAAAGCAAGAGGAAATACTATCCAGTGTGCCAGCAAAGACCTGTGCTTTGTGGGGATGTTTGTCTGGGTTTATCTGAACTACAGCCAAGGTCATGGTGTTGTTGAAGAACTGGGGAAATGTTTACTCTAGATCTGGGCTTCTCCTTAGAGCTGTGGAGATGGCAGGAGGATGGAAGTCCTTGAAAGCAGCAGCCAGTCTGTTCCATCCTTCCAATACAGATGCCAGCGTACTTCAGGATCCCTTTTCTTTCCTGTTTTATCTCTTTTCCCTCCAGTCCTTGTCAGCTCTTGTTTTGTTATCTGTGTAGGTAAAAGCTGGAATGTGGTTTGCTGTTTTGTCTTGGGAGTAAAAATTGTGGATCAAAGGGAAATACAGGCAATTGTTTCCCTGAAATGAAGGCATTGCCCAGTGTGGTGAAATATACTGGTTTGTTCCATCATGGCTTGGGTTCAAACTTTTTGTGGTTTTTTTTGGTTGTTCCCTGTTGGTTGGTTGGTTGAGTTTGGGCCCCTTGCTGGGGCGGGTCAGAAGGAAGAGCAATTGCTGAGAATAGATTTCTCCATCTCTGGAAACAGCTGGTTTGGGGAGTCTGGTGTGGTATGTCAGAATAGGGTATTGTTTGTGGGAGGCACAAACAGCAGCAGAAGGCTCCATGTGTCCCTGGAATCTGTCCTGGGCAAGAGGCTCTTTGTGGGGGTAACAACATGTGGGAAGGGTTTGGCTTTTAGGAGGGGACTCCTAAAAAATCTGGGGTTACTGCTGAAGAAGAAAAGTCTCCAGACCTTAGAGGCCCTTGGTGCCTAGAGGGGCTTATGAAAAGGAGGGAGAGGGACTACTTAAACGGGCAGATAGTGATAGGACAAGAAGGAATGGTTTTAAACAAAAAGACGAGAAATTTAGATGGGAAATTGGGAAGAAATCCTTCTGTGTGAGGGTGGTGAGGCTCTGGCACAGGTTTCCCAAAGAAGCTGTGGCTGTCCTATCCCTGGAAGTGTTCCAGGCCAGGTTGGATGGGGCTTGGAGCGCCCTGGGATAGTGGAAGGTGTCCTTGGTGTTCCACCATGGCAGGGAGTGGAATGAGATGAGTTTTAAGGTCCTTTTCAACCCAAACCATTCCATGATTCTATGGCCCGAGGCCCGCGGTTGGTGACGGGAGGAATTTTGACTGCCGAAATTGTTAGGGAAGGGTGAAGGAGAAGCAAAGACCAAGAGCTTCTCCCTAAACTCTACCCAGACTTTATCACTGTGATATTTAATTGGTTCCTCCTCTTAGGAGAAAGGAGTCTGTGAAATGGGCTTGAGGGGAAATTTTTGCTTCAACCTCCCTGTAAAGATGCTGATCTTGCTGCAAAGCTGTACTTTCAGCTCCTGGCATGGCATTTAGTTTAGAGGGTGTTTCTACAGCCTGGCCCACCCAAATGGCTTTAACACACTGACTGCTGAGCTGTGGTTTGTTTTGTGTCTCAGGTGCCGAAAGTTCAGGGAATTTGGATGCCATAAGCAAAAGCTTGCTGCCTCACCAGAATATGAGACTCAAATCAGGCCTGGAGATGGCTGTGAAGCACAAAGACAAACTGTTGGAATTTGATAGGACAAGGTAAGATACTAGATTGTCCTGAATAGCACAAATGACCTGGCAGGTGAGGTGCCTTTAGCAGAAACATTGGGAATTCCTTCTAAAACCCAGACTGCAGCCACAGACACCTTAACTATGGCATTTAGTGATACAGGAATGAGTCTCTGGAATGGATCCCATTTGGGTGTCCTTGCTATTTGTCCCTGACAATCCAGCTCTCCAGAGAGATGGGAAAGGAGTGGGTTGTTGGGTGGGTTTGGGGCTCTGCCGTGGTCCCACCATGCTCATCTCCTGCGGGCGTTGCTTTCCCAGCGTGCGTCGGACCCAGGTCATTGATGACGAGTCGGATTACTTTGCCACGGACTCCAACCAGTGGCTCTCCAAGCAGGAGAGGGAAGCGCTCCAGAAGAGGGAGCAGGAGCTGCGGGAGCTGCGCCATGCCTCTCGGCTTGCCAAGAAAATCACCATCGACTTCGCTGGCAGGCAGATCTTGGAGGAAGACAACAGCATGGCTGAGTATCACAGCAAGTGAGTGAGGGCTGGCAGCGTGCCCAAGAGCAAGGAGGTGCAAATCCTTGTGGAGAGTGGTCTGACATGCCTGTTAAAGCTGCCTGGGAAAGAGGTGTTGCAGAAGGCCTGTCTCAACAGAACCAATTCAGCTCAAATTCACACCAAGCGGAGTTTCTGTGCTAGAGAGCAGTGACTGCTCAAACTGGAAATCAGACTGAGCAAGGAAGTCATGTGGGGGGAATGGGGCAAAAAATGCTTTGAGTCAGAGTGCATGGGAGACGTTCCCAGGGGAAGCAGGGGATGTTCATCCCTCTCATTTCTGCTTGCAGACTGGATGAGACCATTGAGGCCATGTGCTGTGGTACATTGAGCAAGCCAGCCGGGAGTCCTGGGGCAGAGATGACACCAAACTCTGGGGTTTTGGTGAATCCCCGTCTCCTCCAGCCTGCTCCTTTGGTCAGTAGGCTTCAGTGGTTTATTTTAGAGTATTGACTAATTTTGGGAGAGTTCAGCTTGAGAATTGTCAATTCCAGCACATCTGTAGAACCTCAAGATCACAGGATGGTTTGAGTTGAAAGGGACTTTGAAGGCTGTCTCATTCCATCCCCTGCCGTGGGCAGAGGGACACCTTTCACTAGATCAGATTGCCCCATCCAACCTGGCCAAGAGCACTTCCAGAGATGGGGTGACTTCTCTAAGACAACCTGTTTCAGCATCTCACAACTCTGACAGTAAAGAATTTCTCCCTAATATCCAATCTAACCCTGCCCTCTGCCAGTGGGAAACCATTCCCCCTGTTTCCCCTTGTTTCTCAACCCCTCTTTCCTCCCCTGTGTCCCTCACTGGCCATCTCTGCTTGGGATAGAGAAGGTTTGACAATGCCCTGCTCCTGATGGGTTGGTTTACTGGAGTTGTAGCATCCTGCCTCCTTTTCAGGAGTGCAGAAGAGTTTCTGAGAGTCAGCCTAGGGCCGTGTCACCCTTTCAGCTCTATTTTATGAAGCCTTTTCTGCCAGATCCCCATTTTCCAAAGGGCATAAGGGTAATAAAAGGAAACTTCAAGTAGGATGTGCACGTGACACACATTACTCCTGTAGAGGTGCTAACCTTTTCCCTGTTTCTTTTGAACTCTCAAGTGGGTGGACCAGACGGGTTTGCTCCCACAAAGGAAAACTCTTCGTTCCATGGAGGCTGGGAGCGAGTGTGGCTCGGAGCGGAACAGGCTGCGGATTCAGGACCGAGAGCTGCAGGAGATCTCGGATGATGGTTGGTGCCTCAGCCTGCACCAGCCTTGGGCTTCCTTGCTCGTGAGAGGAATCAAAAGGTGAAGGTATCCCAGGCAGCTCCTGCTCCACAGGGAGCTGTGTTTCACAGGGAAGTTGTGTTTCTCAGAGGATCTCTGTGAACCCGCTGGCTCTGTGCAGTGACTGATACCTGTGATAGCTCCACGTGTGGAAGCTGTGCTTTCCTCTGCCAGTGGCTGGATAGGTTTAGGAGCTGGAGAATCTTTTATTTTTATTTTTTTTTGGGATAGTGGAGTGACTAACCTGTAAGGAACAAGTTTCTTCACAGTGGTTGAATGTAGAGAGAGTCTGAGATTTCACTGAGATTACTATAGCTGGGGTGTTCCTGTGTGGAATTTGAAAAGCAGATAAGGTAATCACTTGAAATATGTTCTGGGTTTTTGTTCAGCATAAAGAAGGCAACAGTGGCACCAGCCTTTGTTTAAAAAACCCAACCCTTGCCCTGCCTTCCCCCCCTGGGCTGGGAATTGGGTTACAAAAAAAAGTTGCTACTGTTAATAGTGAACAAAGAATCTTCTTTAGCCTTTTTTAGCCTTCATATTTCTCATTTTGGAGACTGAAGCCTTTTCTCTTCCCAAGCTAAAGATGCTGTAAATCTTTATGTGCCTGGATTCTTCATCTGGGTGTTCTGGG